TAGTAGTAGTAGTAGTAGTAGTAGTAGTAGTAGTAGTAGTAGTAGTAGTAGTAGTAGTAGGGGGAGGAAGGAGATCCATCGGGACGCTTCCGAGTTCCCTGCTCGTGGCCTGGCCCGCCAGAGGCAGTCGTCGAGTGCGCTCTGCATGCCTGGCGTCCTGCCCTGCCTGACTTCTGGGGCTGTTCTCTTGGAATGTCTCCTGGCGATGCTATCCGCCCGCTCGCGCACGGAGCAACATGTCGCATCCGCACACTGGCGACAACGCTCCTGCACATTGCGGGCGACAGGGTGGAGAGCATCATGCTCTGCCTTGTGCGCGAAACTCTCGGACTCCTGGGCATACCCGACACCCATAGAAGTAGTCACCATCATGATCCCAGCTCGTCCGAGCCGGCTTGCACACTTCGAAACACGGTCTACTTGAACACCTGAGCCCAAGCGGAACCCGATGTCGTCTAGTGCGAGTGTTGATCATTTGCATCCTCCCCCCCCCCCGCCCGCCCCCACACCTCACGCGCCTCCGAATACTTTCTCGTGGCAACAGGCGCGCGCACGTACCCAGTTCGAGGCTCGTGGCCACCTGAGCACTTGTAAAAGTGGGCTCCGCAGCACAGAACTGTTCAACGCAGCAAGGCCTCGATGTTCCATATGCTCACTCGTGCTGCCCTGGGGTGCAAGGTCGTGTTTCGTCCGCATCCTGGCCTGACATGCTGATCCCGCTCGTCACCCCTGCGTCGAGCGCTGGCATCTCGGATCATGATCGGTACGCTGGCTGGCCGGACGCCGAGCTCGCAAGTCAGAATCCCCTCGCCAAACACGTGCACGCCTCTTCGCCTGCGCCTGCCCGCCCTCCGTCCAGTCACGCGGCTCCGCTGGCTCATGCCTATGGTACGCGGGATGCCCAGCATGCGCCATCTGCACTTCAGCGCTCCGAACTGTCCTTCGCAAATGGCGGGGGTCATGATGTGCCTGACCTTGCCGCCCTGGCAGAGGCCCCTGCATGTAGCAGCACTCGGCACGAGGAGGAGGAAGAGAGGAGGAGGAGGAGGAGGAGGAGGAGGAGGAGGAGGAGGAGGAGGAGGAGGAGGAGGAGGAGGAGGAGGAGGAGGAGGAGGGGGGGAGGAGGGGGGAGGGGGAGGAGGGGGCGGGGGAGGTGGGCGCCCATTCTCACTTTCGGCGGGGGGGGGAGTGGCGAGCCTCGGTCTCTCTGGCCCTGCCGTGCGGGGCCCAGGCCGGTTTTGCCGATCGGCCGCTGCTTCTGCTCCGCGCGACCCGGGGGAGGCCATCTTGCCAGCTGTGCGCGAGGTGAAGCCTCTCCCAGCCCCACCCGAAGGTTCGCCCCATGGCGGGATCCACCGCTTCCCCTCGCGCCGGAGGGGTGTGGTGCTGGCTGGGCACGGGCACGGAGCTCAGTTGCAGCGAGGATGGGGGGCACCTATTCACCCGGTCCGTCCGCGACGAGTGAGCCTCCTCGTCCCTCCGCCTCCCCCTGCTCCCCACCCCCATCCTCCCCCGTTCTCCTCTTCCCTCCCTGCTCACCCCTGTCCGACGACGACCTCGACTTCTCCCTTCCCTCGCCGCCGCCGCCGCCGACGACGACGACGACGACAGTACCGCAGCCGACGTGGTGGAGGCGGCGGTAGCGATGGCGGCGCCTCCGCCGCCGCCTCGTCGCCGTCGTCCGCGCCGTTGGCGTTGGCGTCGCCGTCGTCGTCGCCGCCGTCGTCGCCGGCGCCGGCGGCGGCGGCTCCGCGGCAGGCCGAGGCCGGGCGGTCCGCGGCAGCGGCAGGCCACCTGCGCGAGCGGCTGGAGGCGTCGGAGTCCGCGGCCGCGGCGGTGCAGGCGCGCGCCGAGGCCAGCGGCCCTTGGGGCCCCTGCCGTTTGCGAGGGTCAAGGGTCAAGAGTCAGGAGGAGGAGAAGGAGGAGGAGGAGGAGACAGAGACAGAGACAGAGACGGAGACGGAGACGGAGACGGAGACGAAGGAGGAGGAGGAGGAGGAGGAGGAGGAGGAGGAGCAGGGGGAGCAGGAGGAGGAGAGGAGGATGGGGAGGGAGCGAGCTGGTGGCGGTGCATATTTGCCACCAGCACTGTGCCGTCAGAGGTACATCCAGGGGCGTTCGCAGAAAGCGAACTTCATGTGGCGGGAGGTCGGGGGGGGGACGGCTGTCCTGCATCGCTATGCGGCGAGACCCCTACCGTTCCTCCATTGCCACCACCTCCCGCCCCCGCCAGCACAGAGTGGGAGAAGGAGGAGGAGGAGGAAGAGGAGGAGGAGGAGAAGGAGGAGGAGGTATGGTATGGGGTTGGGCGGACAAGTGTCCGCCTGCCGTCTCCGCGGCTGGAACGGGGCTAGTCGCCCTCGAGTGGCCAAGCCTCTCTGGCCTTGGCCTCGCGCTTAGCCCGCCTGCACTCCTGCGCCCATTCAACCGCAGAATCGGGCGAGGCAAACCCATGCAGGCGAGCAACTCGCGCCAGGTCCAGCACGGGGACCGAGACCCCGTACTGGTGGAAGCTGGCGGGGCCTGCGGGGGCCTGAGAACGGTCGGCCACGGGACCCCCAGGGGGCCCGCCAACGGGCCCCAGCAAAGGCCCAACCGCCTCCGAGGACCCAACACCCCCATTTTCCCCTGGAGCCACTCGATGTCCTCATCCTCGGGGCCTCTAAAAGCAGAAAGCCGTGGAAGAGGATGGAGGGCCGAGGGGTGGAGGAACCGACGGAGACGGGACCTCTGGGTCCAAAGCCCTGGGCGCCTTGGGCCCATGCAGGCCCCCGCGACGCCTTTACCAGGCACCACTCGCTGGGCCAACGAGGCCCCGCAGGACTTGCAACAACAACAAGCACGGGTGGTCGGGACCCTCCACGCCGCATTTCACCACCGAGTGCCCTTGAAACAGCCACGGCCTCCCAGACAACGCCCCCACACCACCGCCCCCCACATCGGTCGGCTCGGACTCGGGCTCGGGCGGCGGCGGGGCGGGGGCGGCGAGCCTCCAGTCCAGCCTCTCGCGGGTCCGGAGGGCCTCGTCGAGGACTGCAGCATCACGATCATCGATGGCATAATCTAGGTTTAGGACAACGTCCGAGGTGACTACCACTCCCTCAGTGTCCCAGGCCTCGTGATCTCCAAGCCACGCGTGCACATGTCCTATCCATCTAACAAGTGTCACAGCAATATCTTCACAGGCTTCTGTGAAGAGGACCCTCTGGGGGGGGGGGCCTTCCAAAACAGGGCTCCCTTTTTCGCCCATCGGTCGGCGAGATTGTTGCCAAGCGTGCACCACGCGTCACAGAGCGAGGCATCTTGTGATGCCGACGAATGGGCCTTGACTTTTCTCACGCTCGCACTTTCACCGTGCTTCAGCCACCAGCTTTCCCAAACATGCCTATTGGGATTCACGAGGCTCAGCGCATTCGAGGCTTTCCGAGCACAGCCGATGGACCCAGTGCAACCCGAGAAGACCGTCAGGGCCCCGTCACTAGCAGGGTCGACCGAGAAACGCGACAACATGTGGAACGCATAGTCTTCCGCGTCCCTGAGGACTGCGTCGAAGACCAGGCCAAGGGGGCAGCACCGTACATTCCACACCTGAACGAGCCATCATCGTTGATGCTGATGACGGCCCATCCAGCACGATGAAGGCCGCCGTGCTGGGTAAAAAACGAGGACCCGTCCACAAAAACCTCTCCTTCGAAGAGCCATCCAGGCATACACCCCACGAAGCGGATCTGATCCTCCTCGGGGATATTACAATCTTGAAAGGCATGCGACGGTGAGGGCAGAAGGCCCCTAGCAAAATATTCACCGCACTCCTCGCCCTCGGCGTTGACGTGCCTCCTGGTCCACAGCTCTGAGGTTCTAGCCAACGCCGAAACCACGGGCCCCCAGTGGGCCTCCGAAACCCAAGGGCTCCCAAGCCTTCTCAGAGCTGTGGCATCAGAGGAGGCGGCACAGGCAGAGGCACGGACCGCCTGGCAGACAGCACCAGGCGAGAAAAAGTCGAGGTCGATCTCGCGCTGGCGATGATCGAGCAGCAAATTGTGCCGAGCTAATTGGCAGCCGGCTATGGCGAGGCTAAGCACAGCGACCTGGCCTGGGTCAGTGCAGCTGTTCCACGGTTTGTCGACGTCCAGCAGCTGCACGGCGTCAGCGTGAACCGCTCTGACAACTCCCTGCTGGAGGAGCCCGTCACGAACTCCGATGGACCACGTCTTGGCCACTTCCACAGCATTGACCACGAACGGGTCCCTGACCACTGCCCGCGGCATGGTGCGCATTCTGAAAGCCAGGCAAGTGCCAGGGGCCAGCCTGCCCTCGGCTCTGAGCGCGTGCACCCTCAACCCGTTCAGCTTGCCGTCCGCGATGCCAGGCGACAGGGAGGGAGGGAGGGAAGGAGGGGGGAAGGATTTTCGGATTATGTTGTTCCAGACGGTCCCCGGGGGGGTGCCCGCGGGGCCGGGCGACTCCCCGGCGCGGGGAGCCATCATCTGCCCCCTGGGCTTTCGGGTGCCGCGCCTTGGGGGGACGTGGACACCGCTGCCCCAGGGGGCACCTTTGGCGGGGGAGCACGGCGCCCCCGCCCGCCGGGGGAATGGCATAGGCGCGTCCTGCCCAGCCCCCCCCCGTCCCCCTGGCCGCCGCCCTCGTGGCTGCGCGCGGCCCCGGCGCAGCGGGGCGCCTCCCGGGCCCCGCCCGCCCCGCGGCCCCGACCGGCCAGCTCGGCTCCCCACCCCTGGCCCTGGGCAGTCGAGGAGACCCGGGAGACCAACGAGGACAAGGAGGAGGAGAAGGAGGAGGAGGAGGAGGAGGAGGAAAAAGAGGAGGAGGAGGAGGAGGAGGAGGAGGAGGAGGAGGAGGAGGAGGGAGGGAGGGAAGGAACGAGGGAAGAGGGGAGCGAGGGAGGGACCGGGAGGGAGGGGGGGAAGGAAAGAGGGAGAGGAGGGAGGGAGGGAAAGAGGGAGGGACGCAGGGGGGGGATGGAGGGAGGGAGGGAAGGCCTTGTCGCCGCGCCTGGTCACCGCAGCCGTCGTCATCGTCGTCGCCGTTGTCGTCACCTTCGCCGCCGTCGTCGTCGTCGTCGTCGTCGTCGTCGTCGTCGTCGTCGTCGTCGTCGTCGTCGTTTGTCGTCGCGGTGGTCGTCGTGGTCGTCGTGGTCGTCCTACATCGCGGGCGTCGTCGCGGTCGTCTTTCGTCGTGGTTGTTCCAGTCGCCGAATTTGCCGAAGTCGTTGCTCATCGTACAGTCGTCACTTGTAGTCGTGCCTTTCGTAGTCGCCGTTCATTGGGGTCGAGGCCGGGCACAGGTCTGGCTCCGCCACCCCTTCCCCGCTCCCCCCGCGAGTATCCGCCCGTTGGCGGTCGCCGGCCTTCCCTCCTCGGCCTGTTCTTCCTCCTCCGCCACCTCCCCTTTTTCCTTTTCCTCCTCCGCCTCCTCCTCCTCCTCCGCCTCCTCCTGGCGATCGCCGGCCCTCCCCTCCTTTTCCTCCGCCTTCTCCTCCTCTTCCCTCCCAGGCGGGTGGGCTCACTGCGAAAAGACGTGTGTTCTTGGCGAGCACGGTCGCGGGTCTGTGAGGGGAAGTCGTCTTTCGTGCTTCGTGATGGCCCATTGCAGTCGCTTTGCCTTGTTGGACCTACTTCTGGGGGACTGGTTGTGCCGAGCGTGTAGTTGGAGTCAGGCATCGCTGCAACGCCATCAACTTGTACACCCTGCTCGACCTGGCGTGCAGGCTGCGCACATACGGCCGTCCATGCGTGGCCGGTGGTGACTTCAACTGAAAGGAGGAGATTTCTGACGTAAGTACATTTGACGGGGTGGCCTTGAAACCCTTGAAGGCCACGTGCGTTCGCGAATCGAAATGTCCATCGTGTCGAAGGTCCTGAAGTTGGTGAGCATCCAGGTGGTGGGTGGGTCGGCAGGCTACCCGCGCAGACCAGTGACCATGGAGCTGGAGGCGTCGAGAAAGCTTCCGTGAGCCCACATGATGCAGGTGTCCAGGCCTTTCCCTCACGTTCGCCTTGCTGGGTCCTTGAGGCGTGACCATGCCGCGCAGTTGGGCATCGCGGGCTCGGAGCTGCAGCAGTTGCTCGAACTCAGCCATTCAGCCGATTCGTCTGGTAACGTCTCCCACGGGACGTCGCCCCCGCCTGGCCAAGATCGGTGCGCGAGCGGGCGGAGATTCTGCCAGTCGGAGGAGGGTAAGCGGGATGCGGTCCTGATCAATGATGTCTCTGAAAAGCCTCCACGCAGGCATTGCCTCATCTCGGGCACGGATGGCCAACGCAGAGGACCCCAGCCCATTGGAGACGGGTTTGGGCTCTCGTGGCACGGTTTCTTTGGCGTAAGGTGCCGCTTTTCACCGCCCAAGAAGAGGCTGATATCTTAGTGCCGACGCGCCTCGCGCGGCGGGCGGGGTCAGAGCTTAACGCCCTGCGCGCAGCACCCCGCGCAAGGAAATCAGGTCGACTTCAGCAAACCATGTCTTGGCTGTGCTTGCGGTGGCAGGCGAGGCGCGGAGGAAACCTTGCCAGCGTAGCGCAGCAAGGCCGGCGCGCAGCAGAGACTCACCGAGGCCTGGCAGATGTTCTTCAACCAGGCCGAGCACGAGCAGATAGACTTGCACCAGGTGGAGGGCGGCCAGCTGGAGCAGAAGGGCCACGGGCGCGACGCGCAGCCTCGTCGGGATCGGCAGCTTCCAGTGCGGGGGGCGTGCTAGCCGAGAGCGCCCGCGGAGGCTACACGGCAACGTCGGATCGTCGACGCGCTGAGAGTGGCGGCGCGCGTGGACAAGCCCGCGGGTCGGCTCGGAGCTCTGCATGGCGCGCGCAGGCTGCTGGAGTCGGCCCCCAAGCTGGTCG